ACACACACACACACACACACACACACACACACACACACACACACACACACACACACACACACACACACACACACACACACACATATATATATATATGCATATTACGTAATACATACAATAAGCATACATTATACATACAATAAGCATACATTATACATACATGAAGCATACATTATACATACATGCATACGTATGTACATGCATACATTATACATACATGCATGCGTATGTACACGCATACATACGTACGTACGTACGTACATACATACATACATACATACATACATACATACATACATACATACATACATACATACATACATACATACATACATACATACAAACATACATACATATATATACACATGTAAAAATACATACATGCATACATACATACATAATACATACATAATACATACATACATACATACATACTTACATACATACATACATACATACATACATACATACATACATACATACATACATACATACATACATACATACATACATACATACATACATACATACATTCATACATACATACATACATATTCACACGCACACGCACACGCACGTGCACCTATATGAATCGGAAAGTGCGCCTGCCTGCATTATGCTTGCCATATGATGGGGCGGCGGGCGACTCATTCAGAAGGGGCGAGCGAGTGCTTGAGCGAAGGGGTGGGGCTTGGAGGCCGGAGTCAAGACGAAGAGAGGCTGGCAAGGGCGTCGCGAGGGGGGTGGCGGGGGCGGGCAAGGGCGTCGGCAGGGGAGGGGCAGGGGAGGCTGTGGCGTCGCGAGGGGAGGGGCAGGGGCGGGCTGCTCGCTGGCTGGCTGGCCCGGGCACCTGAAGCGGCGGCCCTGTGCCTCTACCCCCGCCAGTCTCACTCGCACGCCCGGACGAAGCTTCATCGCCCACCTCACACTCCTGACGCGCACGCACTCACACGCCCATTGATAAGGCGTATCGCGATTGCAGTACGTCACCGCTCCTCCCCTTCCCCCTTGCCTCCCTCCCCCTCCCCCCCATGCTCTCGACACACCTGACCCGGCCGCCGCTATTGATCAGGATTACGTTGTGCCTTTGTGTCGCGCCGCCGAGGGAATTGCAACGCGAGTGCTTGTGTCGTAATTGCATGCCGTCATGGGCCTCGTGAGTGGGACGGCGTGACGGTGCGGGAGTTCGCGCCCTTGAAATGGCAGAGCCTGCGTCGCCGGAAATAGACGTAGGCGACGAGGAGGCGTCGTGGAGGGGCTCCGGGGACGCCCTCCTGGCCGCCTTCGAGAGCCTGCTGAGGGAGATCGGGCCTGCCGCCGAGGAGCCCCAGCAGCAGAAGGCCAAGTGGTCGTCAGAGGAACTGCTAGCGTCCTGCCAGGCATTGCTAGACGACACGCGCGATGCCGTCCTGGCGTTCGACGTGCCTTCGCCCACGACGGAGCAGCGGCCGGACAAGTGGCCGGGGCAACGCGCTCGTGCATCATTGGGGTCGCCAGCTGAGTCGCCCGACCCTCTGATCTCAGCAGAACAAACGCACAAGCGAGATTCCCAGGGCGGCCAGGATGAGGACGCAGGGCTCGTGTGTCCTTCTCAGTATTCACATAGATATGGATCAGCTGAGCTACCCGGTGATCGCGGAAACTCTTTCCTGGGACGCACGACGAGTCCACATCACACACTGCCTTTGCAAGCACAAATGCAACTATCGACAGAATCGGTTGCAGAAGACAGTTCTTTGGAGAGCATGGGGCTGCCAGCCGATCCCTGTGAAACCACGACCTTTTGTAATTCGCCCCCTCGGAGTGAACCCCTCGACCCCCAGGCAACCTCCCACGTTCGTACGACAGTTGCAGACGCGCCGGGGAGCCCTGCGCCTCGGGTCGTGTCGGGCGCCGATGCCGTGCCTGCAGTCGGGGAAGCGCATTCCGCTGCTGCTGCCCTGACGGAGGTGTCGTCGACGCACCTTGCTCAAGCTCACCGCACTTCCTCTACCTCTGTCGATGCTAGTCTGTGGAGTGGCAGTTTCTCGCGGAGTTGCACCATGCCTCACCTCGCCCCGCCCCTCACGTTACGGGAAAGCCCCTTCGACAACGCTCGGGTCACCGCCGCCGCCGCCGCCACAACTCCCATATGTCGGGGCGTGTCTGCAGCAGGTAACAAGTGTTTGATTAGCCCTGCCGGTGCCACCCACTCTCAGGATTCCCCTGTGGCATCTGGCGACTCTCTCAACGCCCCTAGCAATTTGCAGGATGCTTCTCCGACGCCGGTTGCCTCTCCAGCCCCTGAGCTTGCATCCGAAAGCTCACAGGTTAATGGCAGCACACTTATCACCTCGCAGATAACCCCAGCCAGCAGTGGGAAGTCTCTGGGCGCGGGTAGCGGATGCCAGGCCCTTATAGATTTTCCTGAGAACTTGAGAGTCAGTAATACAGCAAGAAATCCTTGCGTCGATAATCCAGCACGCGGCGATTCCCGGGTCACTCTTACTTCATCTGACAGCTTGCAGATCAATAGCACCGCGTCTGACAGTTCTGGGATCGATATCGCCGCACGTAACATCTCTCCGGTCAATATGACCTCGACTCATATGTCTGAGGTCAATATGACTGCAGGTGACAAGTCTCGTGTCAGTCCCGACGAGGCAAGCTGCCTGCGGCCTGTACAAGCAGGAGAGAGCATCGGGAGAGGGCCGTGCGGGAATCGCGAGAGAGACTACGAGAAAGGGCTTGTCCGTGACGCGGCCATGGCGGATGGGGCGGCGGGTGTGTCGGTGGGGCCGCCCCTGGGGAACGTCGGTGCTTCCGCTTTAAATGTCCCCTCTTTCGGCCTGGCCCTTCCCCACCTGGCAGAGGGCGACCCCTTTGAGCCCTTGCTCTCCGATACAGACGAGGACGACTCGCTGCTGTGCTACGAGACGTGCAGCTCCGGCGGCGATGACAGCTACGGCGGGGCATGGTGCTCCTGCTGCGAGAGCAACGCTACTGACGGCGAGCTGGGGACGGATGCCGGCAGCGAGTACAGCCTTGGCTCGTTCACGGCGTCTCGTGAAGCCCTGTGGCAGTGGAACCCCTCCTATGACGAGGAGGACCGCGAGGTTGATGACCAGCGAGCGGGCATGGGCGGCGAGGAGGAGAGCGACGCAGGCACGGTGGCATCACGGGTATTAGCGTGGCGGCCGGATCGCCTCCCGTGCCAAGAGCGAGCTGTCGGCGACGGGCGAAATGAGTCAGGCGTCTCGCATCTTAATCAGGATTTGTCTCCAGGCGACCGTCATCTTCGCGGGGCTCGCCGGAGATCGATTTCAGGGGCAAAGGAACACCATGACCCGCTGTGTCTCGGTACGTCACCAGCTGATCAACATCAGCCCGGATGTGGCGCAGCTCATTCGCCATTCGTGACGGCCGCCCCCCGAATGCACGATGCCCTGGATACGCCATGTGATCCGCCAGGGGCTCGGGAGAGACTTGCCCCTGCATCGGCCGCTCAACACGTTCTCCCGCCGCGTGTCACTGTCCCGGCACGCGGGCCCGCTTCCTCCCCCTCCCGGCGAGGCGAAGACGCGCAGGATGGCGTGAGTGGGGCAGCGAGGGGGAAGGATGAGTGCGTGGCATCAGTGCCCGACCAGCTGCGCCACCAACGCGAGGTGCCTGCTCTTGCTGCTGTGCCCTCGCTGGACAGAGATAAAGACTGTGCTTGCAGGGACCCCCCCGGGAGACGGGAGGGCGGTGATTTGCCGCACCATGAGGACAGTGAAGAGGACATGGCCGACATTTTCGGTGACACTCTCTGCACAGTTAAGCGAAACAAGAAGAAGCGGATCACGGTGATTGAGTGCGAGCGACACCCACCCTCACTCGACGATCCTCTCGCGCCCGGATATGCCGGGGTTGTGGGGGAACACTCAGGGTGTAGCGGGGGAGAAAACGCCTTGGGTAGTCTTAAGTGTGGTGGTGTTGTGTGTTATACAAAGTGCTGCGAACAAGGAAGCACTATTCCTTGTACGCGAAAGGAGGCTGTACATTGTACTCAGGATAATATTAGAAGTCTTGGTGAAAATGACAGTAAGTGTTCTCCACACCAGAACCACTTTTGTACAAAGGAAAGTGCGAAATGGTGTACACAAGAAAAAAGCAAGGGAGCCGCGGAACACACAGACGAGAGTGAACGTGTTATATTTCGGGACCCTGATTTGAACCTTTGCTGTGCTGCTGATCACTGCCGGGCGTGTGACGAGAGTGCCATGCTAAAGGAGAATAAGAGTGCTGCGTTGGCAGGAGGTGCGACGTACGGAGACGCCGAAGGTGCTGAACGACTGAATGTGGATGTGTGTTGTGAGCCTTCTGTTAGACCAGGAAACGAAAATTTTATAAACAATACAGATCTCAGTTGTGTAGAAAGTTCCTCTGCAGCTAACACGAAAGGCTTCAGTATAAACTCGGGCTTAAAAACGAAGGATATAAATTCTGAAGACGGCATGGAGATGATAAACCACAAAGAGTTAAAACCTGTTAATGATTTTTCCGTGATGGTTAAAGGAAGTTCAATAACTAAACCTGCTTGTAGTTCTAGCTGCGCTTTTGCCTCTGCTCCTGCTCTTGCTAGTGCTTCTGTAATATCGCCTCTTAGCGCTACTAGTGCTCCTACCTCAGTTCCTCCTCCTCTCCCCCCTCCTCCTGCCCCTCCCCCTCTTCCTCTTCCTTCTCTCTCTCCACTTCCTTCTTCCTTTTCTCCTCCTCTCCCTCCCCCTCCCCTTTTATCCGCACTCCCTCCTCTGCCACCTTCTCCTCCTCCTCCTTCCCATCTTCCTCGCCCTCGTCCTCATATTCCTCGTCCTTTTCTTCCTCCTCCTCCTTCTCTTCCCCACTTTCCTCCTCCTCCCCCTCTTCCTCTTCCACTTCCCCTCTCTCCCCCTCCTCCTCCTTCCCCCCCACTCCATCGCGTGGCCTCCCCCTCAGCCCCCTCTTCCTCTTCCCATCCTCATCCTTCTTTCCCACCTCCTCCTCCTCCCCCCACTCCCCCAGCGGCCTCCCCTCCGCCTCCTCAGCAGCTGCCCCAACTATCAGCCGCAGCATCAGAGGCGCAAGCCCGCCCCGCCACCGGCCCGAGAAACGACCCTACGGCGCCCCAGCCTCCGTGTGGCTCTGGCGTCGGGGCGAGAGGGGCGCCTCACACGCGCTGCTATTTCTCTTCTCCTCGGGAATGCTCCGGGATGCCGAGAATGCTCCTCCCCCCCTCGTATGGCAGAGGCAGTTCCGAACCCGTATCTCTTGAGCGTGACGTGGAGGAGCAAGAGGACCCTCCGCCCGCCAGCAGCGTGGAGCGGAGGCCGCTCGGCACCTTTGTAAATACTTGTCTAAATCCTCAGCCGAGGGCGAGGGGCGAGGGCGATGGTGGAACATGTGAACGCTGCGGCGACGGCGGCGGCGGCGCCTGCTCTCCCGAGTGTGTGATAAGAGGCACGTGTGGTATCGGTAATGAGGTGTGTGGCAGGCCTCCTGCGGTCGCACGTCACGCCGGAGGTGGGGAGGTGGCGGTGGGAGGGGGAGGGGTGCCAACCTACCAGAGCGACCTCGTGCACGCTCGCCCAGTGAGAGTGCTGGAGGAGGGAGAACATACTGGCGGGGAGCAGTGCGCCCTCCCCTCGACAGGAGGAGCGAGGGGAGCGCGCGTCCGGGGGAGCGAGGGCCCGGCGAGCAAGAGGGAGACTCCAGCCTCGAGCGAGGGCCGAGCGCGGCGTGAGAGGACCTCAGTGTTAGTGGACGGGTGCGACCTGGCCCGGCGGCCGCACGGGAATGAGTGCCAAGTGCTACAGCAGACTGGCACTGGTGGCGGGTGTGCGGGCAGTCGTAGCCATGACACGGTGGGGGAGGCACACGCCCCGCGATATCCGGGGGCGGTGATTGGTTCCGTGCTGGTGTCCGTGGGGGAAATCCTGTGGGAGTATCCTGTGCTTGGGAGTGACGATGAGGCTGCATGTGATCATGAGGAAGGTGATCAGTGGCTATTAGTGCTCTCCGATCAGGATTTGGAGGCGTGTTTTAATAGTGATGGTGAACTAGTGACCATGAGCAGTGACAACGAGAGTGTAGCGGGCTCTCGCCCACCTCACACTTCGACCGCGCCGCAACATCCCGATATAAATAAGTGCCAAAGTTCCATATATGGTTTTAAAATCGCCAAAAACGAAAACGTAAAAGTAAAAAAATTGTTGCCAATATTTACGAGCTCGAGAAGTTCATCAAGTCAAAACATTACCAACTCTGTGACCTTCCGCGTTAAGGGCGACTCGACGTGGCAGACCAGCCGTGCCAACAGGAACTCTGACGTGTGTGATATGCAGATGTACAGGGGCTTCGGGGAAGGGGGGCTCCCGGACCTCGCTCAGGAGGCTGAAGGAGGAGGGGGAGCAGGCGGAGGAGGAGGCTCCTTCATCAAGCTCTGCGGCGTGAGCCTGGGGTCGAGGCCAGCCTCCCCCGACCCCTACCCCCTCTTCCGCTCTGCCACCTTGCCCAGGAAGATGCCGCAGACGCGGTACTCGTCCGTGCCCCCTGGCCCTCCGTCGCGGGCCATGTCACCCCTCCTGTCGCCCGTGACGTCGCAGACCTTCGAGTTTCCGTCCGCGTCAGGTATTCCGCCGGAGTTGCCGTCGGCTCAGGGAAGCTCGGCAGCGGTGCAACAGGACGAGTCGACACCCCGAAATGGGCACAGTGAGAATGCCCCTAGTACGCAGGGGGTTGCTGCCCGTACCCCAGGGAGCATTAATGTTACTACCACGGGGCATAGTCGGCAGCAGGCTCAAGTTTCAGCCCCGAATGGACCTTGTAATATAATTGAGATCAAGTCTTTGGAAGAGGAGAGTGAAACGGAATGTGTGAAAGAGGGTGACAGTATGAGTTCCACAAGTGGTGCCTATGATAATTCTAGTAGTCAGTCATTACCTCATTTTCCGGGTGTACCCCAAAATACACCAGATAAACAAGATATATGTACAGTATCTAGTAAAGTGCCTTGTGATGGTGACGCAAAAATCACCGTACCCCTATCCGGGAGCAACGTTGGTGGCACTGTTGGTGCCGCCTCTGGTGGCCCTGTGGCACCAGGTAGTGACCTAGATGTGACTTGCGGAACTACCACATGCGCTCAGCCAAAACCTGTTGGGAAAGCCACCGCGAGTATTGAACATAAACAGCCGCTTAGTTCCGCCTCACAATCAGAAATAGCTCAAAATGATATTAGGTTAAGAGAGATGAGAACGAGTGGACAATGTGAGAATGACCCCCCTCGGGGCGCTGCGGTGCCCCCGGACGAAGGAACGACGGCTGACGGTAACGCAATTAGTGTCGCGCCCCTTCCACGCCTGCAGGAAGGGGACGCGAAACAATCTGTCGACGAGAAACTTGTTATTAATGAAGAGGCAGAGGCAAACACGTGTCTTAGAATCGTCGAGGCAATCGTTCCTCTGCCGAGCGATTTCCCCGCCCAGGTGCCTTCTCCTTCGCCATCGCTCGGTCAGACTTCCACGACCTCGTCAGGAGAAAAGGCAGAGCCAGAAACTACGGTTATCACGGCAGACTCCCGTAGCCAAGAGCGCTCTCAGAAGGGCGGTGACGTTATCGCCTCCGCCCTTCCCCCGCCGGAGACGCTATCGAAGAAGCCTGGCGAGGTTCGTCTGCCGGTGAAGCCGGCTTCTTCAGAAGTAGATAAGAGATTGCCCTCTGCTGCTGCGCCTGCGTCGGGATCGTTGTCCGTCACGAGCAGTGATGCCACGAGTGTCCCAGTGTCCCAGGAGTCACGCCTTAATGAGAGCAAGCAAGAAACCGCGGGGCAAGATTCTCATTACACTCCAACGACAGCTGATCACCGTATTGCATTGCAAGGGCACGTGCACGGCAACGAGGACGGTATTAGGGACGTACAATGTGAAGCGAAAGAATCACAAGCGAGTGACATAAAAACGGATATAAACAATACGACTAACCGCGTGCGGCAGGGGCACAATGCCGAAATATTACAGATAACGGAACCAGTGAAGGAAGATGCAACAAGTACAGAGAGTGCCAAAGTGGTTCCCTCGCCGGTGAAACTTCCCTCGTCACCTTATACTCAAGCGCCGCCTCTGCAAGACGTTTCTACAGGATTGCATGTTGCTCAGCAGTCTTGCAGTCGTGATAACGAGCTCTCCATTATAGAAGTCAGTTGTACATCGCAGAGTATCGAGAAGGAAGCAACTGACGACATACAAACGCGCAGTCACGAACACTCCATCGCTTGCAGTTCAGCAACTGAAAGCGCCTCTTCTTCTCCAGGCACCGCATCTGCCTCGCAACCACCTGCTTCAACGTCTGACAGTGACAGTGTAGAAGGAGAAAGTAATAGAGCGCAGACGGCAGAGCAAACGCGAGCCTCAGTCGGTGAAGACGGCACGAAAGCTCCGTGCACGCCGACATCCTCCTTGGACGTCGTCGGGGAGGCGCTTGGTCACGAGGCCGTCCGTGGCGATTCCGCGAGGTTGTCTGATTCCGGTGCAAGTGATGTTGACGGTGCCAGTGATAAGCTGTTGGTAACAGATAAATGCATTAGTAACGAGACGAAGGTACGGACGGTCACGCCTCCGGGTCTGCAACGTGACAGGTCCGCGGGGAGTATCGGCGGCGGCAGGGGAAGGACACCGAGCAGAGAGGAGAGCGTGGGCGCAGAGCCAAGTGCGCCTACAGTGGGTCGTGGGCCGGGGATCAGCGAGCGGGCGGCGCTCATCCGGCAACAGGTGTGCGTCCGGCCGCGTTCGCGAACAACTCACTTCCCGCTGGATATCGTGTGCGGTACTAAGCTGCAGTACCAGCAAGCGCGTACCAAGTTGGACCCTCCGGACCGAGTTGTGCGGCAGAGGAACTCCTCGCTGGGCCACGTTCAGCCCCTCGTGGTCGACCGCGACGCCACGGCCCGCTCCAAGTCTGCGTCGCGGATAGGCTCGGGGAGCTCGGAGGCCGTTGCAGATTGCCTACGCGCCTCGCAAGAATACGGCGCCGGGCAGGAGCCACGCGAGGCGCCCCATGCGGCGGTGAGGTCGGAGTTCTGCTCGCGAACGGAGCGCGCACTGCCACCCATTCCGCGACCCTTCATCGCGCCCCTGGATGCCGCTCTCAAAAACAAAATCAAAATGACGATCGATTCGTGTGGAGATTCGTGTTCGGGGAGCGAGTCGGCGGCCGGGGCTGCGCCTCACGCGCGTGGCGAGCCGCACTCCCCGGCCGTTGACCGTCGTGACTTGGGAAATGAAAGTTCTGTGCCACTTATGAGGGAAATTGTAACTCAAAATAGGGAAGCCGAGTCGCAGCCTACGGAGAACGGTGTGGTCCATGATGTGAAAAGTGTCGACGAGAAAAACGAGGAGGATAATGGACCGCCAGCTTGTCAAAATGGAGCTGTCGAAAGCAAGAATGAAATATCTAACCGTGGAATTGATATTATTGTATCCGGACCCGAGTGCTATGAAAATGAAACGGTCGTTAAGGACGTTGATGAAGTGATAACACTAGTATTGAAAGATGAGAATAACGTAACAAATGCCAGAAATACCGGTGACGTCATGGGTCCACCTGTTTCGAGTAGCCAGCCCGATGTCATACAGGCATTAGTTAGTGATGAGCCACGTGGGGTAGGACCACAGGCAGGTGTTAGTGGTCGAAGTGATTCAGGAGCAGTTATTAGTAATCAAAACGAAGCCCCGCCACAACGCATAGCTAAGGGTATGACTATTATAATGCTACCGGCGGTCAGGGATCATACCGATGCCCCAGCTGCCAAGGGAGAGACTGATACTACGTTAATAAGAGATTCTAGAGTCGATACTGATGTCACACTACCGTTTAGCGTTAAGGGTGGAAGTGATGTCACGCAGGAAAAAGCTGTTAAAGACCAAACTAATTCTATGATGTTGACATATGTCAGAGATCAGGCTGATGTCACGCAACTGACGGACGATGAAAAACACTCGGATAAGGTGCTTCCTTCTTCTGTAAGTGATGTAACACCACTAGAAGAAATCAAAGTTTCTGCAGACGTTACAGTAGTCCCCAACATCAAGGATTCCAGTGATGGAGCACATACGACCGGGCCCTCAGCGAAGGAACCCCTTGTAAGTGACGGGGCACCGGCACCTGCGACGGGGCCTTCTTCGAAAGAGCCCCACATCATCCCCCGACGATCGCAGGGACGGATGCCAACCCCGGTGTGCCTCCCTCCCTCTCGGGCGAGCGGTGGCTCTGGCTTCGGGCCGGAGTCCTGGCTGAATGCAATCCCCCTCAAGTACGGCCGGGAGGGCGAGAGGCCCGCCGCGAAGACCAATAGCCAGAGTGTCGAGGGGAAAAGCGTGAGGTGTGGTAAGGATAATCTCTCCGAAGGGAGTGTTGTATCAGGCGGGAAAGCATCTGCGGGGAAGAATGAGTTGTTCATCGAAGAAGGCCACGTGGACGGCGGGAGCGAAGGCAAAGAAGCTGGGGTTTCCGCGACGGGGAGCTTGCCTCGAAGGCGCGCGAGAGATTCGCTTCTGCTTAGTAATCAGACAAACATTCTCTTCATTGACGAGTCCTCCCCAGACCTGTGTGATCAAGAAGTGACGTCAACAACAGACATCAAATGCGAGGACAGAAGCGATGTCGATGTCGAGGAGAGCGCCTCTACCCCTCCCTCGTCACCCCCCGAACCACCTCGTCCCCCGCCACCCCCTGCTGAGTTGCTGCAGCCAGGCGTTTGCATAACAGGCGGAAGCATTGAAGATGGCAACGAAGATGGCCGGAAGGATATTCGTCCGTCAATTTCGGACGAGTTTGAGGGATCGGTTTTACCTTCCCACGCAAGACCGGTGGACAAGCCTGCTTCACGAGACGACGAACAGGGTACGTCGCAGAGCGAGGTGAGCGTCGTGGTAACGAGTGTCGAGGAAGTACCCCCGCCCCCTCCCGTGCCCCCGCCCCCTCCGCCGAGGGAATGTGATCGCCGCTATTCCTTGCTAGGAAGAGAAGGATCGCAGGACGACTACGAACAGGCTCTGGAGGTGGCCACGCCGGATCCTGGCCACGGGTTCAGTCACAGCTGCACCAGCGTTGCCACGGTTGTTCGCGTGGACACCCCGAATCAGCAGCCACCCAGCCGTCCTCCTCCGCCCGAGGACGATGAAGCAGAGGACGTTTTCGTTGATGCCAGCGACGACGTAGCGCTGGTGGTCGCGGATGCTGATGCATCGGATCTTCCGGAGGTCGATCAACACCAGCAGCTCCAGGCCTCCTCTCCCACCCTGAAGGAGGCCTCGCCCGCAACTTCAGAGCATTCGGCAGGAGAGGCAGGCTTCGGGAAGGGCGCGCTCTCGCACAGCGCATCAGATACACATTCTTCCGGGATGTCGGGTACTTCCACGGCTGATATGTCGGCAACGTCATCTCGCAGCATGACGGGAACGCAGTCAACGAGCTCGTCGGGAGGCATGGCCAAGGCAGTGAGAGCAGACGCAAGGCGCCCTCTGGTCCTGATAAGGAAGCCCGGGAGCGACGCCCCCGAAGACGGCTCTGTTTCGTCCGGCGGCCACATGACCGACCCTGACATGTTGGCCTCCGCATCGGCTTCGGCCTCGTCGACGGGGTCCGAGACGTCGTGGACATCAAGCGGCGGCCCGGTGGCGCGACGAGACCTCCTGCCGTTGGACGAGGACGAGGACGAGGTGCAGTGGCGCGCCCTGTTGGCCGTGAACGCGCCGGAGAGCGAGGAGGAGCGCACAGGTTACGAGAGCGATGAGGACTTCGACACGATGGACGCCGAAATGCGGCGCCTGGAAGAGAAGCTGCGCAGGTTCGAGAAGGAGCTGGGCAACGTCCCAGAGGACTCGTCAGGCGCCAGCGAGACCAAATTGAAGGCTTCCTCGGGCGGACCCCCGGGCCCCATACTGCGCTCGGAGGACCTCGAGGCTCTCCGGATCTCCCCGCTGCCGAAGGTGTTCCCCGCTGTCTGCAGGGCCAAGACCAAGCACCTGAGTCTCATGACCAAGCTCGACCTGCAGCAGTACGGAGAGTCGGACAGCGAGTCGGATAGCGAGTCCGATCGGGTTTCCAGCGACTCGGACTCGGCGGACTTCTTGTTCGTAAAGACGAAGATCAAGCTAAAGCCGGGAGACCGAAAGTGCCGCTCGCTCGAACAGAGACGCTCGAAGAATATGAACATTTTGAACGAGTCTCGCGATGCAAAGAAGCGCGACCAGAAGCCCTATGTTTGTGAGGATGGGCTGGACCTGAGCAACCTGGCCATCCCTCGGGACCCGGCAGAAGACGACTCCTTCAGCGTTGGCTACGAAGACCAAGAGAAATTCGACATTCCTCCTCCTCCCCCTCCCCCCGTCGGGTACATCCAACAGCTCGGCTCGGACTCCGACATCGGGAGAAACCCTACACTACCGGAGGGTCAGGGCGAGCCTTACCCCTCCGAGATGCCCTCTGACGAAATGCTGGACGACGACAGCACCATGTACTACAGCGGCGAGGACCAGGCGCTCCTGGGGTACATTTGGCAGGAGGAGGACGGCATGGCAGCGGTCGACTTCGAAGGATTAGAGGACTTCCAGAGCTTCAAGGGTCAGAGCGCCCTCATGTTCATGTTTGAGGACGACCTCGACGACGACGCCGAGGCCGGGGAACATATGGACAACGGCGACGTGATGGAGTACGAGGTGAAGCAGCCCGCGGTCGAGCCACAAGTATGCGACGACGCCCTGCCGGCGGAGCCTCCTGGCGGCGCCCCTCCGCGTACTCGCCGGGGTTCTCAGAAGGGCTCAGACCGAACGTTTGTTTCTGCATTTAAAAACAGCTTAAAGAAAGCTAGCAAGTATCTGGGACCAAAACTAGAGAGTTATCAGAAAAAGGAGGCTAGCCACGGCGTCGGCCCTCAGCCAACAGACTGGTCGGCCAATAGTAATAATAGTAATAATAATAATGTAACAGCCAATAACAACAATAATAACGACAACAGCAACAACAACATCGACAATGATAATACCAACAACAACAACAACAACAACAACAGTGATATTGGTTTAATAGATGAGACTAGTCTACCGCCGACATATTTCACACGACGCTATTCGGGCGGGCTGGGCGAGGGCACCGCGGGCGTATACAACGTGCAGAGTGGGCGCGTGGCTCCGGCCTCGGCTCTCGCGCACCCGAGTGATAGCGAAGGCCCCGACCGCCACTCTTGCAGTTCGGGGGAGTACTACGCCGCGCCCGCCCTCTGCGTCAACACCTCCGATGAAGATCCCCCCGCTCCTCCGAGGCGCCCTCAGGAAACCCTCGGCCAGCCCCCGGCGCCTCCCCCGAGATGGGTCCAGCGAAGGTCCTACGTAGCTAAGGACGTGGATTCGGATGCCCTGATGCGCCGGCTCTCGCAGACCTCCCAGACGTCCCAGGAAGGATGTTGGTTCAACACGCTTCCTCCGCCCAACACGGCGCCCCTACCCTCATTCCAGACTCCCGTGGGCACGTTCTTGCCTCCCCACCAAGTGCCCCCCCTCCTCCTCCCGCTCAGCAGCCAGCCTCTGGCTTCGACGGCGGTAACAGCCCCCGCTCAGATCTCGGGTTTCCAGGAGGAGATGCAGTTCTACCTCGTGGGAACTCCGAACGCGAACATCGACGGTGCGGAGCCGGAGGTTCGGCGAAGGTCTAGGGGCACTGCTGAGCTGGAGGAAGTGCGGCAGATGGCGCTACCCGTGTCTCCAAGCCATGCGGATTCGTGCCCTCCGCCGGTGACGTGGGCTCCCGGCTACTATGACAAATGCTCCAAAATAGACAATTTTCCGGGTATGGCCCCGGCCTTCTGCCCCAACCACGGCAATCCGGACGCCGTCGTGGACCTTCCCCCGGGCAGCGGGCCCCCCCTCTCGCCCACGCACAGACCGACCTCGGTCAAACAGCTCAAGCGGAAGCAGCAAGAGAAGGCTCTCCGGCAGGAGGCCGAGGAGGGCATAGAAGGCTGCACCTTCTGCGTGGGCGTCCCCCTGATGCGCTCGCGCCCGCCGGAAGATAGCTCCCACTGGCGACAATCTAGCCCGCACCCCCGCGCTATCACCGATCGGCGCTCCTGGCCGCCCAGAGTAAGTTGTGTAGCTCCGCTCACGCGCTGGAGTCTCCCCTTCCTGCCCCGCAGTGTCTCCCCCCAACCCCCCAGCACTGCAACCCCAGGACAACCCTGCCTTTTCTTACCAGGGGATGTGGCGACACACACTGATTCTCCTAGGTCTCACCCCATCCCTGCTGACCCACCCAGCTGTGTTCAGCCTGTGTGTCCCGCTAGTGTCTGCTGTGCTCCTGACCGCTTGTTCTTGGGCAGCAGCGACTCACTGATAAGTGTGAGTGACGTCCTCCTAACCGAGACCTCAGCCTATGGCTCTCCGAACCTTTCATCCTCAGATTATGACAGTGACCCTTATTGGACGCCCATAACACGGCCCGTCCACTTCCCTAACACCCCCAAAACAGACGTGTTGGCCCCAGTAACCCCTTCCTCGCAGCTGGTGAGTGTGACCCCGCCTGCCATGTCCCCGTGCCTAGCCCCTGAACCCTGGGCATGCCCGGTCGAGACCTCGTTTCAGAGTTGCCCCTCGCAGAATTTGTTCTGGACCCCCACACTGTACCCCCAGCCCTTTGGCGCAAAAGAGACTGGACACAATGCTCAATACTGGTCACCCGAAACGGACACTACCTTTAATCCAGGTCACGAAGGACAGCCGACCTCACTAACTACAGAATTCTGGACACCCCAACTGGACACACTATCCTCCGACCACCACCGCCACTGCGGACCGACCCTCCATGGTTCCGAGTGTTGCCCCTGTGTGAACCAGCCCGTAGAAGGCAGCACCAGTTTGCCCCAACACCACCCAGGTACCACACACCTGCCTGAGGGAACGTGCTGCCCACCGCCTCCACCGCCCCAGCCTCCGCCTCCCCCTCCACCCCCAC